TAAGCACCTCCAATTTCAGAACTATCAAAATGAGACAATCATTTAAGCATCTCCATGAAATGTGTCTTAACATTCCTTGAAGGGTCTTGATATATAGATATTTTGTGGTTACTTGTTAAAAGATTGACTGCCAACATTTATACAAATGGCTCTCAAAAAAGGGGGACACTGTCTGACACTTTTAACCAAAAAGGCCGTGTGAACCAATGTCCAAACAACAGTTGTTTTGTAATGTGTACAATTGAAGGGGATTTCAGAATTTATGGTTGGATTCATTATTGAGAAAGAAAATTGTGGTTTTCCAGCAAAGAGAATGGCTTAAAGGCACGGTGTCCTAACGAATTTTGATTACAGTTTAAATTTCCATTGGCTAAGTCTATAGTTACGTTTTCCAATTGGCAACGCAGGACTAATTCTTAATATCTTTTCAGTAATAAACACGGTGGAGAGCCTTTTGTTAACCCTGAACCCTTGACTGACGGTACATAGTGCCTGCTAGACGTTGAACCCAAATCCCAGTTAATGAAACGTCCTATTCTAAGCACGAAAACAACAGCACCAGCTGTCATACTATTGATAGGATTTTCAAAAACAAATTTAAAACCGTTATGCAAAAAAAGAAAAAAATTGCGGTTTTATAATCCAAATTGCTGCAGAAGCACTAACGTATCTAGGTATAAACAGAAAACGTCGAAAATAATATTTTATGAGGTCAATTAATGCAGCCAAAGAAAAGATGAAGCCTCAGGCACCAAAATAATTAGGAAACGTTTTCTCGTTAGATAAAGAAACTATATTAACTTTTATTGGATTAATTTATAACTCGAGGTTCAAAATTGAAAATTTTGGTGATTAAGGCTTGATGTAGTAACGGTCACTTGGATGCGGTTTTCTCGAGATTACTATTACAGGTAATAAAGAATCTGGAATTTGTTGTCAATTTTCCAGAAAAGTTGAGCCTAAGAAGATTAAAGAGATTTGCGGATTTAACGGAGTGGAAAAGCTTGTCAATAGGGAAACATATGTAGGCTATACAAGTACAAAAACTGGGACAGACCTTTTGTTTTGATAAGATGACGTCACATTTTCACATTGTTTTAGAACAAAAGACCAATGTCCTATAAAATACTGTGCACATTTGTAAGGACTATTTCTTTCTATGTTCAGCACAGTTTAGTTGGGGTTCTTTGGAAAACAACTGAGGCTGATAAATAACGCCTTTAGGGGCCGGCGTAAAAGAGCCGATAAGATAGTGCTTTATTGTAGGAGGCAGGTTTACTCTCTCATTAATTCTCTCCTTAGCGATCTCTTCCTCTCAGCCACTAAACAGGCATAAAAGCATAGAAAATAATGTTATGACTCACCTCTGCAAATTCATATGCGCATTTTTCTATCAAATCTTTTTCTGCCCATACCTTTGATCTAGGGCCAACGTCTCTACAAGATAAATATCAAACATAACAGTGATTGGAAGCAGAGCGGCAGACATCACCAATGCTACTAAAAAAAGTTACAGAAAATAGAAGACTTCGTTCACGCTGAATGTTGCTTTAACGCTGAGTGCTTAAATATGATGTCATATAAAAATATGACATTTTTTCTGGAAATTAACTTTGACTTCACAACCTAAAAGCGCCCGATGAAATACTATGCAAAATCAGCGAAATGTGTTAAAAATTTGTGTGATATGGCCAAAGAGAGATTTGAAATTTGCTAACGGAAAACTATTATTTTGGCTTGGTTCATAAAGTTTCGAACAGAGACCAAATTAAAGTAATTTGATGGGGAAAAATATATTGTAATGTTGCCCTATCTCAGTAAATATTCAGCACAGTTAACTGATTTCGTAAACTTCGAGTTATTTCGTGACAATCTTTCTAAAAATGGGATTTTATGACGTCATCGTTTAAGAAATCTATTGTTCCTGTAAGCAAGAATGAAGTTGAAGTAACATGTGTGGGTCTGAAATGTATTCAAATTAAACAAGTTGGGCAAGTAAAGTAGCTATGGTTTGAATCAACAATAAATGTTCTAAAATTTGTTTTTCTTTTCGGAAATTCTACTACTGAGAACAGAAATTCTTATAGGCGTGGCAGAGATCGACTTACCTTCCTTCTAATGAACCTGCAACCAGTGCAAGTAAATAAGATGGTATAGCAGTCTAGGAAAAATGACAGAAATTAACAGCATGTAAAATCTAGTAAAATGTAACAAGCTGTATCATATATGATTTAAATATGAATAAATATGAACAACCATTGATTCTTGCTTGGTTCCAAATAGACATGTTCTGTACAAGAAAATGTCACTGAAAGTGAAATCTGCGGCAGATAGATGTTATGAAACTCAACCACAGAGCAAAGAGAGATTCTAAATGAAAATTTTACGAAGTTTAGTAGTTGATAAGTATTTGACTGATGCCAGGGCAGCATTTGCCACTGAGCATCCAGTGGCCCCAAAAATTTTCAGACGTTTTCAGTGTCATTGGGTTTTTCTTACACGTGTTTCTTAAAAATAAGCAAAAAAATTTCCGAAGAACATAATTCCACAAGGTGGGTGAGATAAATTAAACAAGATAACTACCTAAAGCTTTCAGAATGGATCATAGGATGGTCGATTGTGCTTAATTGATAATCTTTGGGGTTAATGTGATATCCCTCCCTAGGGAATCATCGGGGGGACCTTTTACAGACAAGATAAAATACATCATTGTACCTTATACAATACAAGGCAGCAGCCCCCTAGAAATTTTGCAGGATGTGTTATTAAACTTGTTCAGAAACTGCATGTAAGCAGTTGGGGCACCAATCAGATCCTGTAAAACATTTGGACTCACATTTCCCATTTCCTTAAAATTTGAGAATTCACAATCCTATACAAACTAAAAAAAGCACCCTCTCATCACAACCTACAAAAATCATCCGGATGCAAATTGAAATTCTTCTGAAAAAGGAACATGACCCACACTTTAATACACATTCATTTGTCTTAATGTCTCATAAAAGGCGATCAACAACTGTTTGTTGTTTTTCAAATCAGGCTATTGTCACCTGCATCCATCCATGTTGCTAATGCTACTTACTGTTCATGAAAGATAACTCTGTCCACGCAAAATTCAAATTCTTATGACAAAAATAGATGATCCACACTAAAGTACACAATCAATTAGTCTTAATGTCTCTTAAAAGACGATCAACAACTGTTTGTTGTTTTTCAAATCAGGCTACTGTCACCTGCATCCATCCATGTTGCTAATGCTACTGTTCATGAAAGATAGCTCTGTCCATGCGAAATTCAAATTCATATGACAAAAATAGATGATCCACACTAAAGTACACAATCAATTTGTCTTAATGTCTCTTAAAAGACGATCAACAACTGTTTGTTGTTTTTCAACTCAGGCTATTGTCACCTGCATCCATGTTGCTAATGCTACTGTTCATGAAAGATAACTCTGTTCCCGCAAAATGCAAATTCTTATGACAAAAGTAGATGACCCACACTTTAATACACATTCATTTGTCTTAACGTCTCTTAAAAGGCGATCAACAACTGTTTTTTTCTTCAAATCAGGCTATTGTCACCTGCATCTATCCATGTTGCTAATGCTACTGTTCATGAAAGATAACTCTGTCCCCGCAAAATGCAAATTCTTATGACAAAAGTAGATGACCCACACTATAGAACACATAATTTGTCTTAATGTCTCATAAAAGGCGATCAACAACTGTTTGTTGGTTTTCAACTCAGGCTATTGTCACCTGCATCCATGTTGCTTGCTACTGTTCATGAAAGATAACTCTGTCCATGCAACATTCAAATTCTTAGACAAAAATAGATGACCCACACTATAGTACACATAATTTGTCTTAATGTCTCATAAAAGGCGATCAACAACTGTTTGATCAAAGCGTTTCCGGGTTGCCAAAAAGGAATACGATAATCACCCAATTAAAATGGAAGAACCAAAGCTCATGGAAAAGGCTCTTTCGTCAGTTATCGCCACCTCACGTGCGGTCATGCCTGAATTGGAGTAAATTTAAGGATTTTTTAGAGTCGCCCTTTTTACTCTGGCCAATCACTTTATCCTAGCAAATTGGCCCTAGCTGGAGGCTTCCCCCTTTACCAATGCCTTTTTCTTTGGCAAATCTGCAGGGGTCAGATATTGTTCTTGATCACTGATCTAAAAAAAACTGGATCGCGCATCCTATTGTTCTCAAACCTTAGAAAGTGCGGCCGGCGAATTTCAATCGGCGCCATGCGCTTGTGACCACTTCAGCGGGAAAATGAATAGCTAGGATGCTGGAGAATTAGGTATTCGCTGCATTTATTTTGCCTGTAAGAAATGCGAAATAGAGAACTGACGATGAAAAGGGAATAAATGACAACAAGGACCATGAGAATCAAGGATTGCAAATAAAAAGGAAGCTACGCTCCACTTTTTCACCGTGAGTACACTACTATTTTTATTTTAGTAGGCCAAGATCGTTGTATTTCTTAGGTACAGTTATGCCCCTTTAAACTGGGTTTTCACGAGTCTGGACCATTTCAAATCCTTTTGCTAAAAGGATCAAAAGTGATACGGTTAGCCGTATCAGTTTTGCTACGGATAGCTTGGAGTGGTATAAACGGGAGGCCAATCCGTATCACTTTTGATACGGATCAACAAGTCATCTGTGGCAGTGTAAACGGGGCCTTAGTTTCCCAAATAGATTGCTACAGTTATTTACTTTGAAGTAGGTAGCTATTTGGAAAGTCTTGCCTGGTTTTAGATACCCAAATAGATTGCTATAGTTAATGTTTATGAATTCAGTAATAATTTTTTACATGGCACTAGGCCTAATCTTTGTTTCCCCATGGAAAAATTGAAATGTGGGACTGCCTCATAGAAGAGTGTATCAGATCTATAAAGGCGCAGGCTAATAGATACACGAAAAATACTTTTATATTTCTATTTTCTAGGTAGAGCAACTTGTGTGCATCTTTGACTTGGTGGATTGACAAAGACATGTGCCTTCACCACTTGTTTTGAAATGAAATAAAAATCTGTTTATAAAACCATAAAGGTTTTCCATTTTCAAGTTTTGGAAAGGAACCAATCACTGAGATGCTATGATGTGACTAAGCAATGGAAGTTGTTGCTAGCAGCTGAATCTTACTAAAGCAAAACAAACTGCAAAATTCATAACATTAATTTTGGAGTGGAAACAGTAATTTAGATTGTTTCAGGAGGTTCTTCAAACATATTTTACAAATTCAAATGTTTGCTACAAAAATTGCGTATATGTTTAGAACATTTAGCAGTAAAATGAATTTATTTTGAGAGCTTTATGCAGTAATCTATGATTATTTCTGGAACAAAATTACCAATGTAATCAAATGTTTTGCTGTAGTAAGCCTTTTTTATGAACCGTATTAGTCTTCAGTTCATAAAAGTGTTGTCACTCATAGCTTTTGTCTCAGGGCTGAAGGATTTATCTCTCAAATATGAAGGATTTATCTCTCAATATCTCTCAAAGAGCTGTATATATAACAAATTCAAAAAACTCAAATTTTTAAATCACAATCTTAAAATTCATTTGAAACAAAGTCACAATCTTTTAATTACTATTCATTGTAATATCTGTTACTTATGAAGTTCTAGCTCAGTAAACTATATATGATTGTATCCCTCAATAGCTGTCAAGCCATTTCATTGCACTTTATTCTGCAAAATAAAGAAATGCTTTGTCAGAGGTAATATTAAAATTTTGATTCAAAAGTACAACCAGGCATATTCTTTAAGGCTTATTTTTTCAGAGGAATATGATATCACTCTTCAATTAGTCCTAAGTCACATAAGTCACAAACATAGTACAAGCGGTGATTCACTTGAATGTAAGCATGTTTCATATCACATCATTTCAATGTAAAATGTATTGCTTAAACAATGTAGAGGGGCACAAAAAGTTAGAGGTTTGAAATCACGGCTAGACTTGTTTGGAAAAAGCAGCTACACAAATTAAACATATTTTCTATCTACAAGAAACTCTCTACTACACTGGGGTTGCTTAGAAGCTCCCAAGATGTTTTTGGGGGTTATATCCTATCAGAGAAACAACTAAAATTAACTTCTACATATGAAAGCTACTTATATTCTATGTAATTATCGCTGCTACGTGGCTTTTTCATGGCAATTTACGGCTCTAATTTGATCAAATAAGTAAAAGGTAGCTAGTCATATAGTCACTTGCCTGCTGATTCGAATAAATATATTTGCATCGTTGGACTCTCCGTGGAGACTTGATTATAGGAAACAGTCTAATTACTGTTTTTGAGTGCCAACAACGAAAGAAAAATGTTTATTTAGATTTACCTTAGTTTGATTTCTGTTTTCGAGTTTCAATCCACCTACTAATAATAGGCCTAAAAGTGTAGGCTATCCGTAAAGCAACAAGAAATAGAGAACCAAAATGCCTTACCCTCCATAAAATGGAACATTTAATAATTTGATAGTCCTTTACGCTCATATATATTTAGATTTACCCACCTTTGCCACTATTTGACGGCAGAAACTTCGACTTTACTTGTCCGAACCGGCATTTCCTCGTAGTAAACAAGACCACAAGTCTGCAAAAGTGGTCACAAGAGCATGGCCGCTGCGATTTCTCAGCGGCCGCACTTTTAGAACAATAGATGCGCGATCCAGTTTTTTTTAGATCAGTGCGTGCAACCAGAAACTTAGCTTACGTTCACACTGCTCCGTATTCGTTTCGCTCCGTTTTCGTTGATGAAAACGCTGTCCGTTCAC